CCGGCGAGCCCCAGGCGAGGGCGGGCAGCGGATCCCGGGGAGGGGAACGGGGCACGGCGGGGTTGGTGTTTCCTTTCCGCGCTCACCTCCCTTTCCCTCGGTGACCCGCGCTTGAACCTGCATCGGGAGGCTGAGACGGACTGCTGCCCGCGGCTCCTTCCTCCGCGGCCGGCAGAAATACAAGCCGGGCCTTTCGAGGTGAACCAGAGGACAGCGGAGGCTCCTCCGCCGATGCGGCGGCATCAGCTGCAGCTCTGCCCGGCGGGCCACCGGGATGCCCCCAGCACGGGGGAGCGCCCGCCCCGTCCGGGCGCCCCCCAGCACCGGCCCAGCTTCTCCCGGCTCCGGCCGCTGGCTCGCCGTTCCCGGCCGGCGACGGCAGCGGGCGGGCGGAGGAGCTCGGCAGCTCGCAGAGCGCACCGGCACCGGTACCGGCCGGGGAGCGGCCGGGGGGTGGGCGCCTCCGGGCAGCCGGGCCCCCGGGTGCTGGCACGGGACGCTTCTCGGCGCAACTTGCTGGTCTCTAACGAGCATCGGCGATAAATCCGAGGAGGCGGCCGGCCCCCGGCTGTCAGCTGTCGGCGGCGTCCCGCGGCCCGCTGGCTGAGCGCGGTGCAGCGGGGAGCGAGCCCGGAGCCGCCGCTGTCGCCGCGCCCGGCAGCACCTTTCCTTCCCCGGCGGCTGTCTGCGGCGGGCAGGATGTGCCGCGCAAAGCAAATAGTTAAACATTTCGGGGGGAGGAGCCAGGCCGCAATCCGCAATTAAAGATGAACTTTGGGTGAACTAATTTATCGGACCAAGGTAGGGTGGGCAGCAACCTGGGAAGGCTATAAAAGGCGGCCCGCGGCGAGCTCGGGCCGCGCACTCGGAGCTCCCGGGGGGCCGGGCTGGACTCGCTCCCCAGCCATGGGCTTCTCCGCCCTGGTCGCCAGCGCCCTGTGCACCTTCCTGCTGCCCCTGCTACTCTTTCTGGCCGCTGTCAAGCTCTGGGACCTGTACTGCGTGAGCGGCCGCGACCCCAGCTGCCCGCTCCCGCTGCCCCCGGGCACCATGGGGCTCCCCTTCTTCGGGGAGACGCTGCAGATGGTGCTGCAGGTAAGGCGAGGCGATGCCGCGGGGAGCGGAGAAGCGCCCCGGCTCCTCCTCTGGCTGCAGGGGCGGGGGACGAGCGGCAGCTCCGCCGGGCTCCCGTGCCTAGGTGGGAAAGAGCTGCTCTCCCTACCCCTTCCTCTCCTCCTTTTCGAGACCTATTTCACTGTTTCCTCCCCTCCCCTGCCCTGCCCAGAGGCGGAAATTCCTGCAAATGAAACGCAGGAAATACGGCTTCATCTACAAGACTCACCTCTTCGGGCGGCCCACGGTGCGGGTGATGGGCGCCGAGAACGTGCGGCACATCCTGCTGGGCGAGCACCGGCTCGTCTCCGTGCAGTGGCCCGCCTCGGTGCGCACCATCCTGGGCTCGGGCTGCCTCTCCAACCTCCACAACGGGCAGCACAAGCACCGCAAAAAGGTACGGCCCCGGCGGCGGGTGGGGAGCGGGGGCGGCCGCCCCGGGCGCGGCGGCTGAGCCCGTGTCCCCATCCTCCTCCTCCTCCTCCTCCCCCTCGTCCCCCCGGGCAGGTGATCATGCGGGCCTTCTCCCGGGACGCCCTGCAGCACTACGTGCCCGTCATCCAGGAGGAGGTGAGCGCCTGCCTGGCCCGGTGGCTGGGGGCCGCCGGGCCCTGCCTGCTGGTGTACCCCGAGGTGAAGCGCCTCATGTTCCGCATCGCCATGAGGATCCTGCTGGGCTTCCAGCCCCGCCAGGCCAGCCCCGATGGCGAGCAGCAGCTGGTGGAGGCTTTCGAGGAGATGATCCGCAACCTCTTCTCCCTCCCCATCGACGTGCCCTTCAGCGGGCTCTACCGGGTAAGGCTCCCGGCAGGCAGGCGGGAGAGGGGAGCCCCTGCAGCCAGGGCAGCAGGGAACGGAGGGGAGGGAGGGCAGTACGGCCCAAGACCCACGGTGCTCTCCCTG